GTCGCGGGTTCGATTCCTCGCATGGTATAAACATTTCATTGTATTGGTTTGGGTGTTTTATATGTATATTATGTATGTATTTACAAAAAATATATATGTATCTAAATATTTATAACAGTTGTCTAGCACACATAGAATACAATAGAAAATCATTAATTCAAATAAAATTACATTGAAGCACTTTTGAATAGTCATTACATTTTTTTTATATATTACAAGCTCTGCTTAACTTGGGACTAGATGGCATTGTGTGAATTGCCCAGGGGTACTAATATAATCTATACATACAAATAAAATCGGAGTGTCTGTTTGTAATATTGGAATAACCGTTATTTACTACATGCATGCATATGAATACATATACATCAAAATAACATTTTTAAAAAATTTTGTCGGTCTGTCTGTCTGTTTGTTCCGGTTAATCTCTGAAATGGCTGGACCGATTTTAACGGGACTGTATTTGGCAGGTAGCTAATGTAATAAGGAGTAACTTAGGCTATTTTTATTTTAGAAAAAATAACGTTAATTTACACGCGTACGAAGTCGCTAGTAATAAATAATATAGAACGTTAGAGGAAATTTATAAATACTACGTGTAAAAACAATAAACTAAAATAACCTTATCTGTAAGAGATAATGTATAGCGAGAATACTTATTTTGGGAATAAGCGCTTATCGTACAAAAATTTCATATTTCTTCAAAATATCGCTGATTCGCCAAAGGGCCACCACGGAAAAAAAAACTGAAACAATTTTTTTTTCCAAAAATGATATCTAAATCCTTATAATTTTTATATTAAAAAAAAAAAGGCACCGATGATTCTAGAGCTAACTATAACCTATATTCTAAATATACCACTTATAGATTCGTGAAAAAAGTAAAAAGATCACAGAGAAAATTTTGATGAGTTCTCATGTAAAATTTACCGTTTGCGTCATTTGGTCCTCTGGCGTTTAATCAGTGAGTGTACCTACACATATTACACTATTTTGCTCATTATCTACATATCTCTTTTAAAAAAAAAATAATATTTTATTTGAATAATCTAATAACTTCTTTATATATATAACGCGCATAGCTGAATATTGAAAAACAACGTTCCGAGTGTGTCAATCCATCATCCGGACTGGAGAATAAAAATGCAAACCTCTAAAACATAAAAACCAACTTCCACACCAACATCATCCCTATTGTTTATACAATAAAGTCCATTAGCAGTCATTACGAGAGGTTTTAGAATGAAAATCTCGTGTGACAACGGCTTCTAATGGAAATGTCAGTACGTCCGATATCTCGATTCAGCGCTGCGCACTCGACTTTGAATCGAGGCTTATCGATACTGACCGCTAGGAATTACGTGGATTGTTCTAAATTTAAAATGTGCTTAAAGATTCTTATATTGCAATAAGGTCGAAATTCGTTGACAGATTTTTATATCGTAGCCAGGCTTGCGTGCACATATAAAAAAATATTTTTTGTATCCAACTAACTGTTCTAAATTCAAAACGTACTTAAAGATTCTTAATTTGCAATAAGGTCAAAATTCGTTTATAGATTTCTATATGATAGCCAGATTTGTGTGTCATAACTTTTGAATGAAACTGTTCTAAATTCAAATTGTGCTCGACGATTTTTAAATAGCAATAAGGTTGACATTCGTTGACAGCTTTTTATATCTTAGGTAGGCTTGCGTGTCACATATAAAAAAATATTTTTCGTATCCAACTGTTCTAAATTCAAAATGTGCTTAAAGATTAAGTAGCAATAAGGTTGACATTCGTTGACAGATTTTTATAACGTAGCCAGATTTGGTGTCAGTTATAACAAATATAACTTTTGTATGAAACTGTTCTAAATTCAAATTGTGCTCGAAGATTTTTAAATAGCAGTAAGATTAATATTCGTTGACAGATTTTTATATCGTAAAATATTTTTTGTATTCAACTGTTATAATTTCAAAGCGTGCTTAAAGATTCTTAAATTGCAATAACGTCGAAATTCGTTGATAGATTTTATATCGTAGCCAGACTTGCGTGTCATTTATAATAAAAATAACTTTTGTATGAAACTGTTCTAAATTCAAATTGTGCTCGAAGATTTTTAAATAGCAATAAGATCGAAATTAGGTCAACTAATTCCAATTTAAGATCAAAATATATAAACACATACAGAAGTTTGTAAGTGTGGATGGATGTTTGTACGTAAAAACTACTGTACGCAATTTAATGAAACTTTACAATAATATAGCTTATACATCACAATAACATATAGGCTTAAAATTTAATGCAGGTAAAACTGCTGCCACAGATAATCATGAATAATAAAATACTATATCTGTGTCATGCAATTAATAGTACAATAGGTACGTATTCCAAATCGATTATTGGCGGTACACAACCGTTTTCCAATTACTGTCAGTTGCACTAGAACGTTCTAGAACGTTCTATGTAACAGCTATTGAGTGCACGTAAATATTTACTAGCAATGTGTACAGTTCATTACAGGTTATGCCGGTTTGTATTGTCGATGGTTTAAATGTATTTTCCTTGAACTAAGCATTATAAAATGTTTTATTAGACTGCAAATTTTGTAGAAGAAATACAATTATGTTATAAATATATATTATATTATAATAAATTTGTTATTCATGAGTATGATTGTTTGTATCGGTATGGGTATTTTCTATGTATAATATGTATGTATTTACGAAAAAAAAAAAATTATCTATGTATTTGTATCAGTTGTCTAGCTCACAAGCTTTAGGTTTTAGATGGCGCCGCGCGTGTGCTCGCGGTTTCACCCGCGCGTAATTTATCGTCTGTGTACATCAGATTGCTGATGTATAATCTATATTACTGAAATTCACAAACTTTCGCGTTTATAATATTAGGAAGACTGGCAGTTTCCCGCGGATTATTTTGCTTTTTTTATGATATATAGTAGCATATGGATGTCCTTGTAATCCTCCTCGTGTTATTTTTTTGGAGTGGAAGCTGTGTTATACAATTTATTAGGTGATCCCCGCAACTTCGTCTATAATTATACTTTACACTAATATCTAACATTAGTATTAGCTAAATACATCAAAATAACACATAGGCCATAAATTTCAAGCAAGCGAAACCGCGGGCAAAGCTAGTAATAAAAAAGTTTTGGTTAATTTATTTCAAAAATTTTGTAGTAAATCGCTTTAGATTTTAATATAGCTAAATTACTGTTAATCGTGATTAATATTCTAATACAGCTAAGATTTAGTACAGGTACTTTATTTTCTTTTATTAAGGTACTACACTGTAGTAAGTTTAATTAAGTTTTTAAGCAGATCGCCCTTCCGTCAATAAATATTAAGGTTTATACCGCCCAATTGTGACAGTCGCCAGGTGACGTTCACTGCGTAGTATTCTATGAATTCTTAAATTTGTTACATAATATCCCCATAATTTCTAATTCGACGTTTAAAATTTGGCGGGATTGTCTGACATATGTTTGAATTTAGAACGTGAAAGAATGAACATGTGTTATTCGAATTGTTTTGATTTTCTAATTATAATGTCTTTAATTTAGCGTCATTCTCACCAATATGTTTGAATTTAGAATGCGAAAGTATTAAATATATACTACGTTTTGTTTTTGCAGATTTTAAACACTTTGTTAATTTATAATAATAATCATTGATGCGTTTTATTATTGCACAGAATACTATGCAATTATCATAATATATGTCACAGATTAATATATTTAAGAGTTAATGTATTTTTAAATTTGTTATTTAAAATTTGGCGGGATTGTCGGACATATGTTTGAATTTAGAACGGGAAAGAATGAACATGTAGATATGTTATTCGAATAGTTATGATTTAGAAATTTTCCAATTATTATATCTCTCATTTGGCGCCATTATCGCCAATAAATGAATTTGCCAATAAAATGAAGAAATTAAATGCGAAAGTGTTAAGTATATATTACGTTTTGTTTTCGCAATTTTTAAACATTTTGTTAATTTATAATAATAATCTTTCATGCGTTTTATTACAGCACAGACTATTATGCAATTATGATATATATCACAGACATAAATATAAACTAATTTATTTAAAGTATATTTAATTATTTAAAGGTTAATGTTTAACAAAGTTTATTTGTTTACTAGATCTTTCTATTAGAATCGTAATATAACACAATGAATACATTTTGTTCCTCATAATGCCACTATTTACATGCAATCCGCAATGCAGCATTCCCGCACAATAATTGAACAACCAATATTATGTTTGACATATTAAACGAGTCATTTTTAAAAACCTATTCCGGTATATGAAACACTTGTGTATAATAATAATATATCTGGACAATTAACACATCGCCATCTAGTCTCAAGCTAAGCAGAACTTGAATTATGAATACTAAACAACTAATACAAATATATATATGTTTTAATACATACATAATATACATAGAGAACACATAGACCGATACAAACAATCATACTTATTAGTACAAATATTGGTACTGAAAAAGGAATCGAACCTTCGACCATCGGAAGTAAAGCGGTGTGCTAAGTCGCTTGACCACCGAGGGCGTCATATATAGTGAAATATATGATATCTATAAAATATCGCCCAACAGTCCAACTGTTTGCCAAACCTTTTTTTTTAAAGATGGTAAATGTTTGGCTAAGTTTGTTCGTGTTGGCACGCATAGCAATATAAAAACTTTAACTTTTACTAAATTTAAGACAGTGTCGAGAAATGGTTCAGAGACCAAAACAATGATTTACAAATACTAAGTATTTTGGTACATAAATCAAAAAGGCGTAATAAATATCACAACTGCCTGATGTCCTGTGTTTTTTATACTACGATGGTGGCAAACTAGCATATGGCCCATCTGATGGTAAATGGCTACCCTAGCCTATATAGCAAATAATTACTATATACTATTTTGTTATCTACAAAAACTGCAACTGCTATGCAAATATAGAACTAATATTCATACTTACTTAGTGCGATATTCGCCTGCTTGTTTCTGTCAAGCTGACCGCGTAGCGCTCGTAGCCGCCGTAGCTTCAACTCCTGCGCCTCTACACGTTCGCGTAGGCGGCGTAGCCTCTCGCCTTCTACCGCCACCTATCGGCAAACATACGTAAATATTAGTTGTTTTATAAAAAAAATAAAAAAATAAAGGAAAATAACGTATACGGCCACAATAATACTAGGTAGTTGCCCGAGAATTTGAACCGAGACTTGCTCCCATGCCGTGTCCAGGGCCCCGCGATGGATTGGGGCCCCCTAGTCTAGTCTCTTTCCTACTCCATTACCAAATGATAACCGATAACTACTATCGCCTGAAAATCGGTCAGAACAAATTCTTACCGCTATGGTCAATTTGTTCGTTTTGTTTTATAAATATCTATATACCAAATAGTCTGACAGTCACAGAACTAAAAAGAGTAGAATAGAAAAAAAAAATGAAAATAAAGAGAACTGAGAGCAGAGAAAAAATTACAAATTCAGGTAACATTCCCCAAAATTTATTCGTAGCACTTTTCATATCAAGAGTTAAGTCATTCTAAAGTTTGATAGCCTGAACGGCGAAAGAATAGTGGCCAAAACCGGACAAATGAACTACAAATTTTATGATTGTGCAAACACAGTGATTGTTGTCCCCATGGAAATGAAATTTACTAATAATAGAGTCTGGAGAATTTGGATCGCATAGAATGAAATAAGGATGGCGTAAGTTATGTAAGTTGAACTTCTGCAAAATAACACTTAATTTGATGAATACCTTAAGGACTTTTGTTATGGGGAAATTCCACAGATGTGACAAAAGCTTTTACCATACAAAAAAAATGCGTTAGGGCCATTTGTGGAGCAGATCCATTAGAGTCATGTAGAGCACTTTTTAGAAAATTGAAGTTACTTTAGCTTTAATGTATATACTAGAGCCTGGAATTTTCGTTAAGAGTCATCAAGAATTGTATGCTACGGCGGATATCAATAGCAGGCATAAACCTAGAAATCCAACACGATGATTGTTGCCACCATGTAGATGTATACTATATGAAAAAAAAATGTTACGTAATGATGGCAAAAATATACAATCATCATCATCGCAGCCCGGAAGACGTCCACTGCTGGACATAGGCCTCCCCCAAAGATCTTCACGACGATCGGTCCTGCGCTGCTCGCATCCTATGCCTTCCAGCGATCTTGATCAGATCGTCGGTCCACCTTGCTGGAGGCCTTCCCACGCTGCGTCTTCCGGTCCGTGGTCGCCACTCGAGGACTTTACTGCCCCAACGACCATCTGTCCTACGAGCTATGTGCCCTGCCCATTGCCACTTCAGAGTCGCAATTCTTCGGGCTATGCCGGTCACTCTGGTTCTTCTGCGGATCTCCTCATTTCTGATTACCATTACATTTCTACCTATGAAGCCCTTTAAGTTAGCATTTAAGAAATGGTTAATAGATAAATGCTTTTACAATATGCAGGTGTATTTTCAACGATGATCGACTACTACAACATATCCTCAGCGCTGAATACAAGAAGCTCAACTTCAAACACGGATTATTTCCTATAAATGATATAAACTGTTATTATTACATTTAATTTTAATTCACTAATTTTAATTTTGGACATTCAACTATATAAATAATTATGACATTCGTTGTAAACATTTAACAAGTTATATTAACATGAATTTAAATTTGCATGCTCAAAATGTAGCTGGATATAGAACTGTAAATTAATTTGTAACAACAACGTAATCTATTCAAAGCAAATAATAATAATAATCTCAGGAAAATTCACACAGCGCCATCTAGACCCAAGTTAAGCTAGCTAAAGCTTGTGTTATGGGTACTAGACAACTGATACAAATACATAGATAATTTTTTTTCGTAAATACATACCTATTATACATAGAAAATACGCAGACCGATACAAACAATCATACTCATGGATACAAATGTTTGTGCCGTGTCAGGAATCGAACCCGCGACCATCGGACGTAAAACGGAGTGCTAGACCGCTAGACCACCGAGGTCGTCATATAAATAAATAAATAGGTAGGTAAGATTGTCGATAGGTTAATACAGGAACCTAATTTGATGAAATATACAGGAAAAAAGAATAGAACGCGAAAATTAAAAGCAATTCATATATTTACGCCAACCCCTTTCTATGGCGCAGTAGTTTTCCTACACGCCGCACGCGTGTTTTATGGGGGTCATGGGTCACTCAGGAGAGCTGTATAGTAGAATTTATGGCGACATTCTAAGAGTAAGTGGATTAAAAGAAAGTAATCATTTGATACACACTTTCTTTGATTTTCATTCATTGTTTTTTTTATTCTCATAACCAGACCAGATATTAAAAGAAATAAATATTCTAAAATAAAAGTAGCCTATGTTACTGCTATCTGCGAGTAAAAGTCCCGTGAAAATCAGTCCACCCATTTCAGAGATTAGCAAGAACATACAGAAAGACATGTTTTTTAATTATATATTGATGTAAGTACCGTACATACTTTCATATGCATTAAATGAAAAGCTGTTAATTTGAAATTACAAACAGACAACTAAATTTTATTTATATGTATTTGACGTAATTAATATTAACAGGTATGAGAATAAAATCATTACTATTTAAAATTTGAAAGTAAAACTAGTTTTGACTATAACTTAGTACCTAACCTGTTTACGTCAAAACATCTGTTCGGAAGACAGATTGCATCAAAAGGACGGACATTTTATATATTTTATAAATCACTAGTTGTCCCGGCAAACGATGTTTAGCCTTAAAATAAAAAAAAGAATTAGGGGTGGACTACCTCTAACATTTAGGGGGATGAAAAATAGATGTTGGCCGATTCTCAGACTTGCTCAATACGCTCACAAAATTTCATGAGAATCGGTCAAGCCGTTTCGGAGGAGTATGGGAACGAAAACTGTGACACGAGAATTTTATATATAAGATTTAAACAATGAAATCAAAAGCACGGATTAAAAATATTTTGCATGAATAAATAAATGTTTTTAGCTTATTCGCAATATAGTATTTATTCGCAATATGCACTTAAATTTATTAACAATATTTTTTGTACGTCTATTACTACATTCAACATAATAAAAATGGTGTTCTTGTGGTGTGCCGTACTCACTAACCTCCTAAGTAAATTTCTAAGTATTCATATTTCTATTTAGTCATAAGTAATGTTCAGTAAGATGCCAATTCTATTTAGCGAAATTATTTCATTGCAAAGTATATACTTAAGCATTTAAAGCGAAACCAACAACACAATAAAACTGAGCTGTTACCAGCTCAGTGAAACGCTGAGTGGAGGCAACTCCACGGCGCAACGAAAATTACTCAAGAAAATTAAATCTTAATAAAAGCTGAAGATCGGCAATTTTGTTTATTTTATGGGCGTGTTTATTGCGTGAGAAGAGTTTATTTCTTTTAGGGAAGCGATAAATATCGCATTAGGCTAACCGCCGGGCGTTTGTTGCCGGGCGGACTTTGAAATTTATTTGCAATAGCGGTTCAGAACGGCTTTTCCCATAGAGCATTTAAAATATCGTATACTTATAGAAAATCGAATCGAGTAAATTCATACCATTCTCTTTCTTTTACAGACAGAAACAGCAGGATAATCTTAGCAATATTTTTTTTGGCAATTCAGTTCGTGTAGACTGAAGTTAGGATAGCTAAAGCTTGTTTTAGGGGTATTAGATAACTAGTACAAATACATAGATATATTTTTTTAGTAAATACATACTTATTACACTTGGACAACATAAATACCGAGATCGATACAATAAAATTACGCTCATGAATACAAATGTTTGTGCCGCGCGAGGAATCGAACTCGCGAGCATCGGAAATAAAGCGATGTGCTATACCGCTAGACCATCGAGGCCGTCAAACTCTCTTCTACTTGATCGTTCTCTCACTGCTGAGGATCGCGACTCTATGTACACTATCTTGTCGACCAGCTTGTCGCAATCGGTTGTGTTCAGGCGCCTGGTGTGGTGCATCGCTGACAGTTATATTCAGCTGACTGGATCTGGTCTGACCATCGAATGGGGCTTCGGCCTTGAGGTCTTTTACCCTCTATCTTCCCTGTTACCACCAGTTTCTCTATATTAACGACATCCCACCGCGCAACGTGTCCAATTGTCGTTAGTCTAATTATATATAACTCAAAGGTCACTGACTTAGAGATCTATCAACGCACAGCCTAAACCACTGGACGGATCGGGCTGAAATTTGGCATGCAGGCAGATGTTATGACGTAGGCATCCGCTAAGAAAGGATTCTGATTAATTCTACCCCCAAAGGGATAAAATAGGGGATGAAAGATTGTATGAAATTTTGTCAATTTTAAACCGATCGGGCTGAGACTTTGCATGCATAAAGCTACTATGACTTAGGCATCCCCTAAGTAAGGATTTTGATAAATTCCACTCCTAAGGGGATAAAATAGGAGATGAAAGTTTTATGAAAGTACTGTAAATCCGCAAAAACTATACCTAATTAATAACAACACTTCTTAACGCGAGCGAAGCTGCGGGCAAAAGCTAGTAATATTATAAACGCGAGTTTCTGCGTTTGGATAGATGGACGGATGTTTAATCTTTCACGCAAAAACTTCTGAACAGATCTAGTAATTGGTAATAATAATTATGGCCAATTCACACAGCGCCATCGGTAGCTATGACCAGCAATTTACGATTGCTCGCTCAGTACAATTACAGTATTGGTATTAATAAGTGTTTGTATTGGTCTCAGTGTTTTATAATTATATAATTCATTTATCATTCATTATCATTAGATAATTCATTTATCATTACATATTTCATCTCTCTATCTATCTACATTATGTATGTATTTACGGTTTCAGAGGAGCTTCCTCCCTCGTACACTTAGATTGTTGAATGAACTTCCTGCCGAGGTTTTCTCACTAGACTACAGCATGGAGTGTTTCAAGAAGGGTATATTAAGGTTTCTTAAAGATCGGCAACGCGCACGTGATACCCCTGGTGTTTCAGGCGTCCATAGGCTACGGTAACCATTTACCATCAGATGGGCCTTATACTTGTTTGCCACCATAATAGTATAA